TCTGCAGCTGTGGTTTGGAAAGGACCCATCCTACCCCCTGTGTACAGTCCCAGCAACACTCCAGCACATCTTGGTTGGTTGTAGGACTAGCCATACTCAGGGCAGATACACATGGAGACACAACCAGGTTCTCGGGTGTCTAGCCGAGAAAGTTGAGTTCAAAAGAAAATCCATCATCACTCAACCTTTCATGAACCAAGAGGAGCGTCAGTTTTCATCAACATTTGTCCGGGAAGGAGACAAGCTGAGGACAAGCCCCTCAACCCCAGACTTGGGCCCGCTGAAGGTTGCCAGGGATTGGCAGATGCAAGTGGACTTGGATCAGAGGCTAATTTTTCCCACAGAGATCGTAACAACAACTTTGCGACCAGACCTCGTCCTTTAGTCTAACTCCCAAAAACTTGCGTACGACCGGGCGCCCCCCGTCTGGCTCTCCTCTCTCCTCTCTCCTATCTTGTCCCTTTTGTCTTACTTCTCTATCACCTTTTCTATCCCTTTGAAGAACTTAGGCTCCATTAATGGTAAAGAGGTAAGTATTATTTCTCAGTTGCAGTGAATAGATAGAAAATAAACTGTAGGAAACTAAACAGAAGAAAGAAGAAGAGAAATAACAAGTTAACATAAACCAGTGACACACTCCAGGGCCTGATCAACCCTGGCAGGGCCTCCTTGGATGAGGGTGTCTAGTGATAACGGCCGAAACACCTGATGAACCCAAGGTCCACTACTGACGATGTGTCCCAAATTTTAAAATGATAATCTAGATCAGATCTCTAATCCCTAAACCTAACCAAGGAAGGAAAATGGCAGATTAGCCTGGGTAAAAGACCGAAGGTTGAGGCATACAATGGTGCGTGCTGCTGACAAAGTTTCTGGGCTGCCTTTCCTCATAACAGCCATCCCTCAAGAGTCTCTCCATCTAAAGCAATGCATTATCAGGGATTATAACCTCTAGTCCTTCTTACTGAATCTGATCAAATTACTCACACAATGATGGGATAGGTAAATAATTGCCAAAATTGATTAAAATAAGGAAATAAACGGAATTTGCTATATCAGCTGAGATTATTTCTTTAATGACGTGTTTGAACGCTGAAGCCTAACTGGGTGGCCACTAAGTGCTAATGACCAATACATATGGAACTTTAGTTTTAGATATTATAGTTAACAGACAGAGGTAATTGTGGTTATTCTAAAAATAGAGAAAGATGCATCAGTCCAACCTAGTTTATATTATATTTGGTTTTAAGCTCTAGTACTCCTGCATATTCATTGCCAGAAGTGGCTCTTACGCCACACCACCAAAACACCACACCACTGCAAGATTTGTTTTTCTGGACATCTGAATTAATCAAAGTGATTCTGGTGTTTTCTTTTTTGATATCCAGATTAAGGCTTAATGGTTGGCCTTGTGAAATACGACGTAATTTGGATGTTGCTAACTGTGTTTTTTTTGCTTGAAATAATGTGTAGAGAATAACTGCCAGTTTCCATTATTATTGAATAGCAATGCCCACCGACTCTATCTGTGAGAGCCTAGCTATTCCATAGCAAAGCCAGAAAAAGAGCTGCAACATACATTAATCTTTGTAGAGCTTGTCATCTCCTTCCAGTAATATGAGGGCAATGGTCAGCAGAAATAAATCCTCTGAGGGAGCAAATGAGATTAGAGACTAAGTTTGAGCTGAGCTGGGTCATTTCACATCAAAGCCATATCAGAAGCTCAAAATAAATAAATTCAATTTACATTCGCTTGCTACAGTGGAACATTAAACATCTGAAATTATTGCTCTTCTCTCGTGATCTACACTGTGGCCATAAGGCCTGATTAGATACAGCAGAGGCTAACATTTTTTCACAGCAGTTGTACATATTTGGCTTCTAGCCAGTCCAGGGCTCATATCTTGGTTTAGCAGCTCAAACAGTAATACCTCCTACTTACGTACATGTATACACATGTGCTCTCTCATGCGCGCGCGCACACACACACACACACACACACACACACACACACACACACACACACACACACATATATATATATACATAGTGAAAACACAAGATTAAAGCTGAACTATTTTTACATTGCCACTGCACTTTCATCTTTTATTTTACCATTCATCCCCATGTAGATCTGCTACATTTTACATGAAAGAAAAATAAAAGCTGAGCATATCAGTAAAGTTTCATTAAAGTCAAAACATGATAAATGGCCATAAATTCTGGAAAGACACAGCAAAATGATGTAGCACATAGCAGCCTCGGGGACAATTTGTCTCTGTGAAAGCTCCCTGCTAACACCAGTGTTATGATGCCACAGTGCTACCATGATGGCTCCTTTATCTCTTTTCTCATCTCCCACGAGCCTTTCAGTTCTTTCGTTTTTTGGTTGGCCTAGCTTTTAACAGCTACAGCTGACCATGCTAATGACCAGCTCAGGGAGTGAGAGGACACGACTTAAGCAGCTGCGTTTTAGCTCAAACAAGAAATACTATAAAGACCAATGCAGCACTCATTTCTATTTTTGTGAGCCACTATAGAGCTGGGCAACATCCCTCTGCACTAACAGAGTACTAGAAGCAGCTGGGGTTATAGGTTGTCATTTATTGGCCTATTTAATCTCCCTACATATTTCCTCACCTGAGGCACAGTGCTGCTCTCAACAGACAGAATCAATAACAGAGCTACTCTAAGCCATCCGAGGGGTAACAATAAAACTAGCACAATTACAGTAAGATGGATCAGAATCTTTAGCAGTAGTATATTATTTATATGTTTGGATGAATTCCAGGAGGCTGTAGGAAGACAAGTCAGTGGGCTATAAAGAAACTTGTTAGTTCACTGGTCACCTGAGAGGCACTCTGGACATGTTTCCGAGCATTTTGCAATGATGTGATAGTTCTTTGTAGAAATTAATGTAAATGCCAGCACAAAGTTCTAGTGGGTCTGAGTCACAGGAGGATACGGCACTGTAGTGTTTCATTGTTTTGTACTATTTCTGGTTTATTTACCTCTGTTTATACCAGTGGAATAATTGAAAAGATAGGAAGTTAGCGCCAGTGGGGTTTTTCTTCTCTTTTTACTTGCACAAAATCAGCTTTCATCAGCTTTTCGCAACTTTTTTACAGCATGAGAATCTATGCAGACAAGTATAATGTGAATATTTGAACATAGTTCAAGAATTTCAGTCAGCAAGCTAACTGAAATGCAAATGAGTTATTATGGGGTTTCAGTAAGAAAATGCTGCTGCTATAAACAAATCTGATTGTATATTGCTTAAAGAAGTGTTTGAGAAAATGTAGCAGCTTAACCAAAACACCCACTTTAAAAACAATTCTCAGTTGTTAGTCAGATATCTGGACATTTGCCTCACATTAGTGTAAGTTTGCTTATTGTTTTTCTTATCTTCCTGTGGCCGCTGACAGTGGACTCGTCGCAGTGCTTGTCCTTCTAGACCTCAGCATTCATCAATGTTGACCGTAAACTTTTATTAGGAAGATTACAGCATGCCGTAGGTATTAAAGGTACTGCTCCGCATGGTTTGAATTACATCTGTCATGTTAATGGGGATTCTTCTTTATGCTTCCCCTATGCAGTATCGCCACTGTGTAGATGATAGCCACCTTTATCTTTTCATGATGACCTCAAATTTTCAGCTTCTAAATTCAGATAAAACTGAGTTAATCATACTTGGCCCTAAAAATATTAGAAATATGACGTCTAACCAGATAATCACTCTGGACTGCATTACCTTGGCCTCCAGCGACTGACTAGGACATGTCCTTCAGTGTGCATATTAAACAAATATGGAAAACTACTTTCTTGCATTTGTGCAACATCTCTAAAATTAAAAATATCCTGTCTCAGAGTGATGCTGAAAAACTAGTTCATGCATTCACTATTTCTAGTCTGGATTATTATAATTCATTATTGTCTGGTTGCCCTAAAAGCTTCCCGAAAAGCCTTCAGTTCATCCAAAATAAATAAGTAAAGTGCTATACAAATGCAGGCCATTTACCAAAATGCTGTAGCAAGAGAGAGCAGATTCTCCCAAAAACATCCTCTCAAACAAACATTCTCCCATATCCTTATATACAATTATTTGAATTATCAGGCCCCATCTTATTATAAAGACCTCATAGACTCAAAAAACCCAAATAGAGCACTTCGCTCTCAGACTGCTGGGTTACTTAGAGTAATTAAATGTAGAACATGAGGGAGAGGCTTCAGCTTTCAGGCCTCCCTTCTGTGGAACCAGATCCTGCTTCGATTTGGGAGACTGACTCTCTCTGAACTTTTAAGATTAGACTTAAAACTTTCCTTTCTGACAAAACTTAAAGTTAGGACTGGATCAGGTGACCATGAATCCCCTCTTAGTTATGCTGCAGTAAACGTAGTGTGTTGGGGGCTTCCCATGATATGCTCAGCATTTCTCCTTCTCTCACCCCTTGTCACTCACCATGTGTTTATCCATCTCTGCATTTAATTATGAGTTATTATTAATCTCTGGCTCGCCTCCACAACATGTCTCCTGACCTCTCTCCCTCCCCTCGCCCTAGCGCAGATGGCTGCTCCTCCCTGAGGCTGATTTTGCCCGAAATTTCTTCCTGTTTAAAGGGAGTTTTTCCCTCCCACATTTGCTCAAGTGCTTGCTGATAGGGGTTGTCTAATATTTGTGGTTTTATCTGTATTATTGCAGAGACAAAAAAAACAAACAAAACCAAGACCATATAACCGAGGGTGTGAAAACGTTTTGAAAGGTGTTAAGTGGGTTATGTGTTATAGGTTAGAGATTAATGGTGGCTTTGGAGCAGGTTCTTTTATAATGCTTGCACCACTGTCAGGAAACACTAGTCTAAATTTCTGAAACTAAATGTCATGTCTTGCTGAAATTTCACATTTTACACCTTAATTTCAGTCTCCTTTTGTGTATTTTCCGCTGTCTCTCTGTGTGTTTAACGCTCTCTGCTTCCCTGACTCTTTCACCTCGTTCTCTCCAGCCTTCGTGTTGAGCTGTGTCTTCCCCAAGCAGCCTCTCTATGGTGATGTATCAGTGAGCAGTCTCCACTCTGGAGGGCAGGCTTTCTTCTCCTGTTTGACGGGCTACAAGCTGCAAGGTTCCTCTGTGTTGACCTGCCGCAATTCTAGAACACCCTACTGGAGTGGGAAGGAACCAAAGTGCCTAGGTAACGTTTCCCAGACAAAACTCTTCGACTAGCCACAGCTGAAGACGGAAATTATACACCTAATTAATTATACAGGCAATATTTTAGTTACAAAGGTTTTTTTTATAAGTATTTCATAGCATTTACACATTAACATAAGTGCAAAATTATTGTTTTTATGCATTCTATTTACATTTAATTGTATCAATAATAATAATGCATTTATGTAGTGCTTTTCGGGACCCCTCAAAGCACTTTACAATTCCACTATTCATTCACACACTGGTGGAGGCAGCTACAGTTGTAGCCACAGCTGCCCTGGGACAGACTGACAGAGGCGAGGCTGTCATATCGCGCCATCGGCCCCTCTGGTCATCACCAGTAGGCGGTAGGTGAAGTGTCTTGCCCAAGGACACAACGACCGAGACTGTCCGAGCCGGGGCTCGAACCGGCAACCTTCCGGTTACAAGACAAGCTGCCAACTCTTTGAGCCACGATCGCCCCAAGTCTCAGTCTAAGTTAGTCAGAGAAAGTAATTAATAGAAGTATTGTATATGAGTTTCGAGTGGGTGGGATAGCATACAGGAACATACATACATGTATGGCCTGGAAGTTCTAGGGTCAAAATGGGATACACCAAGTGGTGGACAAGCAGAAGAAGAGGTTGTGATAGACAGTGTTGGTCAAGTTACTTGAAAAAAGTAATCAGTAACTAATTACTGATTACTTCCCCAAAAAAGTAATCCCGTTACTTTACTGATTACTTATTTTCAAAAGTAATTAATTACTTAGTTACTTAGTTACTTTTTAAAAACACGATTTACAACCTGAACAGGTGATAAAGCGATAGATCTTTCAGCCTAATTCTACTTTTTCTGCATAATCCATCATACAAAATGTAATCAAATGGAAAAGTCTCTTTTTTTAAACTTGTTTTATCAGTTTTGATCTTTTAACTTTATGCATCAAGCAAAAATTTAATTATATGCAACATTCTCTGACTTGAATAAATTAGTTTAACATTTAAATCTATTTTCTGCACAT